GTAAAACCCAGAGATCAGTCTCTGCAGAGGTCTAATCAGGTAGCAATAAACTATTTCATTTCAGATGTTATAGATTTCAAAACATTTCATACTAAAGAAGAGCTCATCCACAAACAGCACCCGGAAACCAGGCTTCTCAGCAGAGTCCAGAAATGTGCTCAGTGTCAGGATTTCCTGCCACTGTACTTTAGACACATGCTAAGTCAGGCTTTTGGTGCATCAATGCATGGCTGCACCTACCACGACAGCAGCTGAGATGGGCTGTTTTCTCTGAGGCTCAGCTGTGCCTTGCAGCAGATGCTTTTTTAATCATGTAAATTTTATCAAAGAACTTTCCTAATACTTTAGGCAGTCCTATTTTAAAAGAAATACAAGCACAGAAGAATAAAATAAAAGTATTTCTGGTTCTTTGAGTCACCATCCATTTGAGCCATACTGTAGCTGCTGAAGCACAGAGGCCCTCATGCTCTGGCTCTGAAAGTACTTGATTAATAGTTACTTTCAGAGGACAGCTTTGTGCCTGTGAGAGCATCAGTCTCTTCATCCTCTGCAAGTGGCTTTTGTTCTGGGCATCAGCACAGCATGGTGACTGTAAAGGACAGAAAGCAAGAATTAGGCCAGTAAATTACATATTCCAAAGCACAACAAACATTATGTTGTGCACAGATATTTGCAGTTCACTTAATGAAGTGAGAGTGAAGGCCCCAAGACCAAAGGGTGTGGAAGTCTTCAATCTGCAGACTTACACTAACTGCATGCCAACTCAACAGAAGACTAAAATAAATCACTAAGATAAGAGAAGATTCCTCCAGAAGGCTGAAAAGCACTGGAACATCTGGAAAGCAAAAAAAAAAAAAAAAAGAAAAAAAAAGATTTAGTTGAATGTGTGTTTTGGATGCTTTGTAGGAAAAATATCTGCAAGAGACTGTCTTGTCTTTAAGCACTGAACATTGAGACCCAGGATGTTTCCTGAGGATTAATAACTACCTAGGAGAGTTAATGACCCAGAGAAAAGCTGAGGGTCATTAAAACCAGTCAGTCATCAGCTCATTGGGAATTGCCCTCTGCTCAAGTTTGTTACGGTTGCTGCTAGCACCCCTCCTTCTTGGTAAATATAAGAAAAGAAAAAAAGAAGCAGCATACTTCTTTCTGCACAGCCAGAAAGCCCTTCAGCCATCCCTCTGTGAGGGAAATTGTTGGGGGGCACCACCATTGTCCTAAGCCTTGCAAAACAGACAATAAAATTTCTCCCCTTGAACTTAGATTATGTCACATAGACACTTAAATAAAATAGCATGACAGAAGCTGTCCCTCGTCTTGCTGATAGAAGAGCATCACAGGCTGCAGGGAGGGGATGGAGAAAAATTTCTGACCATTTTCCATGAGTTCTCAGAAGTGAACACAGTACAACTCACATTTACAGAGAGGAGTTGGAAACGGATCACGAAAACATCTCTGGGCCTGAGAGCAGTTTTCCCCTCACTAACTTTTGCTGAGAGAACTGCTGCCCCACTCTCATTTCAAAGTGCTCCCTATGCAGAGCTGTGCTGCCCATCAGTCCATGCATGAGGGTCAGAGGGACACCCCAGAGCCCAGGTCACCCCTGGCAGTTCTGTCTCACCCTGGGACTGTGGTACGTGTGAAACGGGAGACCTGCCAGGGCACAGAGGGTACAGCACAGGCTGGGACACTGGTGGCAATGCACCCAAAGCCCAGTAGAGCCTTAGAAAAAAACAGTGAGAAAGAAGAGAAAAGGCACGATCTAGAATATATGGTGACAGTGTACATTTCTTGCAAAATTTTGTATAACCATCACTTTCTTCTCATTTCCCTTAACTCTGTGGAGTTTGGGGTTGCACAAAAGGAAAGGTGATGTTATATCATGAAAGAGATTGAAAGCATCAAGTTAGACAGCCAGGCAAATCTTTGCAAGAGCAAGCATTTCATCTATAAAATGAGGTATGTATGATTTCCAAGGCAATTACTAGCTTGCAGTATGGGATACATACAATATCTGCACATTTCAAACATGAAAAGTAGTATTGTTCTATTTCAGTGCCTTAGATTAGGTAGAGTTGCATATGCAAAGCCTTGGTCACCTTTCAGTAAATACTAGATATCCATTAGTTTAACTATTACTTCAGAAGTTCTTCATCTAAAATATTAATTTTTAAAATAAGTGCAGTTACAGATGTTAATTGGACTTTTAGTTGAATAGGGACAGAACAGGATCCTGTTTGAAGGCACACAAATATTACCAGTTTCTTGAACTGTGATTTGGCAATGAACATTGCCAAATGTTCTTCTCTAAACATTTCATTTCATTTGAGAGCTTGCCAGTAACAAGTGGAAGTACAAGACAGGCAACAACTATAGGCATGTATTTCCTACCTTAATTATACACCATGATACTGTTACAGGAGTCAGCAGCCAAAAGCAAAGTCACAATTCCTTTGGAAAAGACGTTCTTTCAGGGAAACCTGCACCTGTGTTTAAGTTAAGGTAGTCAGCCATAAAAACCTGAGGAAGCAAAGTTTCTTTTAATGAGTAGATTTGGTAATGAAGCATGTCTAACCTAAAACTGCATTTTTACAAAACTTGAACAGTAAGAGGCAGTCTATAAAGGTAGCTTGAACAAACAGCACCTATCAGTTATTAAGAGCTGCCATCAAAAGACCTTAAACACCAATTTTAATTCTCAGCCATGCAAAAAGATCCAAGTGAACACAGATGGTTGACGCAGTGAAATAGCGCAGGTGCTACATGACTGGAGTCCTCCATATTGCCCTTCAGGCAGAGAACAGGACAAGAATAACCAGGGAGAACAGGACAAGAATAACCATGCCATCTCCTTCCAGCAGCAGAGGCTTCAGATAATTTTCAGAGAAACACAGAATCATTTAGGTTGAAAAGATCTTTAAGACAATCAAGTCCAGTCACTAACCAAGTCCATCACTAAATCCCTAAGCACCACATCTACGCATCTTGTAAATACCTTCAGGAACAGCAGCTCTATTGGGCAGCCTGTTCCAGTACTTGGCAACATTTTCAGACAATAAATTTGTCCTAATATCCAATCTGAACCTCCCCTGGCACAACTTGAAGCCATTTCCTCTTGTCCTGTCGCTTGTTATATGGGAGAAAAGATTGACCCTCACCTTGCTACAACCTCCTTTTGGGTAGTTGTAGAGACCAATAAGGTCTCCCCCGAGCCTCCTTTTCTCCAGGCTAAACAACTCCAGCTCCCTCATCCACTCCTCATAGGATTTGTGCTGCAGACCCTTCATCAGCTTCGTTGCTCTTCTTTTGCTGCATGGTAAAAGGTCTACTGCCTTCTTCCCCCACCAGTCTGGGGTGGGCAGTGGAGCTGTGTATGAACAATTTAAGAGACACAGGGCAAGAGTTCTGGTCTGAGAGAAAAAAGTCATATAGACACTACAGGACCCACGCGGTAGGGACCTGCTAAAACAGAAAGGTAATTATTCTAGAAGTCTCATTTTATAGATTTGAGTCAACTATGCAGAGCTGATAAAATAAACCTCTGTATTTTCTTCTGTACAGAATCTTGCTGCACTTTCAACTGGGAAACTTTCTTGTTTCTCTTGACTGAACATATGGCTCCTCTCAAAAGAAGCCTCTTCCTCCCCATCCCTTGCAGAAAAAGGATGCACCACCTCTTACAGACTTTGTTTGGATGTTACTCCTCATGACTTTTCAAGATGTGCTGGGGCTGAAATACTCTGAATAGCAACTTTTACTGCAGGAAAAGGAGAAAACTTCTTTTTAAGCGGTCCTACTTTGGAGCCAAGTACCTTAGTCTTTTATTTTTCTAAGTACAGAGAAATTCCCTAACCAAAAACAAAGTTCACCAGGATATAGAATGATCTTAGGAAGTTCAATCCAGTCTGCTCCCACAAGGACTAATTAATCAAATATATTTTCCCAGTGTTTACTTCTCTTCCAAGCTTCACTTTTATTTTCTCTGTCTCAGTGTGACAATCTTAGGCAGCATCACCCTTCATTAGAAAGAATGGAAGAGAAATTCAGCAGCTTCTACAGATTAACCTGTACATGCTGAAGTTTTATCTGACATTTCTGTAATGAGCAATAGGCACACAAGTAACATTATTTGCCATATCAGCCTTATGATACCTTTTTGAAAGGGCAGGGTTTAATGTAAGGGTTAAAGTAAACAAGGAAAGTGAGGCAAGAGAGAGAGAAGACTGCCAGCCTGCCATAAATCTCTTCCAACATTTTATACAAACCTACTTTCTGAGTTTAGCTAGAAATCTGTGAAAATTAGGTGCTACCATCTGCACATTTTTGACTCAAAGTAGTGGCAATCAGCACAAGTAAATATAGGCAAATAAACAAAACAATAGTCAACCTAATAATTCTATTATGACAAACTTGCAAGACTGAAAGAGATGAAAAAAACATACGGAAATTCAAAACACAGAGAACCTTCCAATTTTTCTGGCATAACTTTGCCAAATATCAGGCACTATATGGAGAGCAAACCTCAGAAAAATGAAGAAAAATTAACCTTTATTTCTCAATTGATGTGTCTATCTCATGCATCACACCAGGGTGACTAGGAAGGCGATTCCAAGAGCAGACCCAGGTCTCCTACCAGCTGCTGCAGCAGCCACCTGACTGCACCAGGAAACCAGAATCTCTGCTCCACATTTGCTTGAGGTGCATTTGCCATACACAGAAAATAGATCTAAGAGAACTATAAAGTAGTACAGCTGGGACAGTTTCTTGAAGGGGGGTGTGTGAAGTCTATTGCAAATCAAAATGAGCATGTGGAGGGTATTTTTAAATATCATTTGCCAAAACTGCCAAAAAGGACTTTTTTCTGACTTTTCTATGGGATCTCTCTGCAGCTTAATTTTTCCTGCTACTACTTCTACAGGTTCTGGGGGACTAAAAAGGCCATGTACTCTGAAAACAACTACAGCAGGAAAAGCAGAAAATTATAATAGCCCAAGTTAAAAATATGGTCTTTGTGATAGTGCTCTGGAGAAGTAAGATTGCACTTGCCAAGGCTGAGGGAAAAAGCAAGCTGCAATAACCTATATGATGATAGCCTTGACACGCGTTAAATTTCAAGCTTCAAGCAGTCACCGGCTGTGACAAGAGTGACTTTTCTAAAAATTCCTCTTTAGTCATCATGTGCAAGTAGAGATTTACTAAAAATCAAAACCTGAAGACTGAAAGATTGTTTCTTCTCAAATATCCATCCCACATCCATGAAATACATGCAGAACAGGGGTAACATTTCAATAGATGTCAGATCCTTTGCCCACCAGGAGCTTTTACAAATGCACAGAGGCAAGAAAGTAATAGAGAAGGGCAACAGAGAATGATCTGCTGAAACTAAGTACGATATTAATACAAACAATGCAATTGTTTTGGGTTTGGGGAAAATAAGAGTTTCTAGAGCTTCCTTACACAGCCCCTGTGAGCTGGCAGGGCTGACAGCCACTTCCATCCAGGTCTTTGCCCTTTCCACCTACAAGATCATGTGTCTGATGCCTGCTCTGCCACCACCATCTGCAACCACAGCCTGTGCTGAACAAAACTCTGTTAATTTAAATTTTGGTGTTTTTTTCCCCACGAAGTCACAAATATTACCCCCCCAAAAAAATACCAACAAATAAACCAAAACAAAAAACTCCTAACCAAACTAAAACAAACAACAATAACATAAAACAAACAAACCCACAAACAAAACTGACCAAGCAACCTTCATGCAGCTTCTCAGTTTAGGACCTGTTTTCAGGAATATGTTTTCAATCTAACTACTTATTCAAAGACAACTGCTACCATATTCACTCTTCGGAACAGCTCTTTTGGGAGAAAAAGGAGCAGTATCATTTTACATAGAGAATGTACTACTATACAGGTGCTACTTTAAAACCCTATGTTTAGTGCTATTCAGGACTGTTTTATACTACACAGGACTTTTCCCAAATTAAAACAGGAAAACTTAGTAACGGCAGTCACAGTAATTGTGACAATGAGTTTTGTAAAGCAATGAGCTTATCAGGATAGAAGTATCCTGAGCTAACAGGTTTCAGTGGTAGTCAGAGAACAGATTAGCTTCTGTAGAGCAAATTAACAGCCTATTTAATAATATGCACCATGACATGCACACACCAACTTTTAGAAATTCACAGAGTTGACAGAAGACAAGAAACATTTGCTCAAGGAGAACAGGGCTGGCAATTTTCTTCATTCTTGACCTGCAGCATCAAGATCCTCCACAAAGAGAAGCTCTGGAGATAACACTGGCTTCTGTATCCTACAAATTCATCATCTTTCAGTCTGTCTGTTAATTTTGCCAGACAGCCATGCATCTTATTTTTGAAGATAGCTGTTCTGGAGAGGAAGGATTAAGCTATCATAGCCTGAGGTCAAAGAAATTAAATTTGCTACTTCTCTGCATGTCACTTTGGGACTGCCTTAAACTTTTCTGGGGCACAGGGGTGGGATGTTGGATTTCTCCAGCCCTGCTGCTTTTTCTGTGCTTTCACACGGGAGGGAAGGAGAATGCAGCCTGTACATGTGACACACTCACAGTACAACTGCCAGGCAGCCTACCCTTCTGCAAATACCATTAGGAATCTTTTTGTTCAAAAAACAAACTTAAATCAACATTAGCACCATAATTACTGCAAAGCTGATGAATGGGCCACTCTGTTACCTAAAGTCCATTTTAATCCCAAAACAACATAGTTAGGATGGGAAAGACTTTTCAAAGGTATTTGAAATATGTATACTCCATTTCGGGTCCAGGGAATCAAGTTACCAGCCTGTAAGTGAGATAAGGCAGTAAGAGAGCACCCACATCCCGGGTGGCTGCGGGACTTGGGTAATTTGCTCAGCTCAGTCCTTGGGCTGAGCAAAGTCCCTGGTAACACCAGCTGGAACGTGTGCCCTGCAGCCCCGGACAGCTGGGAGGAGAAAAGGCCAGTCACAAATTAAATTAAGAGGTGTAATATGGTGTGAGAAGAAAAACAAATTGAGATTGTGAAAACAGGTGCCAACTGACATTTACTCGATGCTCAGTCACACTTTCCTTTCTCTCTATGTGATTAGCAGCTAAGCTGAATTAGGATAGATTTCATGCTTCTGTGACCTTCTAGAACCCCTCTATGGGAAAAGAAAAACACCTGTAGCCAGAAAGTTTTTTCTAAGAGGGTAAAAGTGCCAACTACTGTGAAGTTGGATTGACCAAGGCAAAAATAGGTGTATATGCTTGGTGACTACAACTGGATTAAATTTTACTTTTTAAAGAAGTAGCACTAAACATAGGCTTTAAAGTAGTACCAGGCTGGCAAAGTCATGGATTTATTTATCTGAATCAATCAAGGCTGTCTTCCTAGTTATTTTTCTGAGAATAAGCTGAAACTTATGAGGACCATCCTGAAGTTCTTGGGAAGGAC